GGAAGATTTGCATAACGCCGCCCAAATGTTCACTCAAAGAAAGAAGGCATAACTTTTATTCTCGCTGTAGTATTGTTGCTGCCGCCATATCGTGAAGACGCTGTGTTTCGTTGTGAAAGCGAAACTACTTTGTTTGGCCTTCCAAAAGAGGACGATATCCGCTTCGTCATGCCTGGAGCTGATCCATGCTGGTCGCTGAGGAAATACATCAACTTTGCACTGTGGATCGTCGGATCGGCTTTCACCGTGGACGAAGCGGAGTCCAGCCCGGGGTCGTCACATGTGGTTGCCGCAAGCCCCCCGTACGCTCCTTTGTCGAATCCGCCGGCCGCCGCTCACTCTAGGCCTCCGCTCACTCAAGGCCGCCGTGTGTGACGCTGTGTTTCGTTGTGAAAGCGAAACTACTTTGTTTAGCCTTCCAAAAGAGGACACGACTAGAAATCGGTGGTTAAGTTGTATTTACAACACTGTTCCAGAACAGTTCAACCCAAATATTCAGATGTGTGCATCACATTTTATGGAGGACTGTTTCCTGATCCTGGTAGAGTAGACTACAATGCCTGCTGTTCTGACTTACGACTGTAAGTACGTTTTTTTTTATATATAAAGAATTTGCCACTGACGATTCAAACGCGAGTTTTGAGCAGTGTAGAGTAGCGCTTGTTGTTTGTCATTTCTCTGATCACAAATGCAGACATGGTTTTATGTTTACGCAGTGCGATGCAATGCGTAAAAAGACAGTATAAGTAATTATAATCCGTAATTATGTCCCCACTGGATGCAACAAATGCCTCGTTTATAATGGGTTTTAATGTTTTTGTCTCATCGCTCCAGCCGGACAGGGCATCACAGTATGGTAAGGGGTGTAACATTTCCGTCACACGCTTGAGGTATTCGGCCAATCATAACGCACTGGATAGCTGGACAATCAGAGCACACCTCGCTTTTCAGGCCGATGAGCTTTGTAAAAATCGATGCGTTTCAGAAAGGCGGGGCATAGAGGAGAAACAATAATGTACAGTATGTGGTGTTTTTTAAGTTTTTTTTTCCATTGTCTTAATTTTAGTTTTAGTACAACATTATAATACCATGCTTTTTAAAATTTAAAGTAAAAACCAAACCACTTGTAATTAATCGCAATTACAATTTCAAGGGAATAATCGACAATTATAATTTTTGATAATACAGTGCAGCCCTACTTTGAATAATATTTAACAGGTTTTTTTAAGGCGGATAATTGTTAAAACAATTATCTGAATAAGCTTGGTATCACATTTCAAATTTATCCTCAAAACATCACACTAATGAATGAAAAGTGGTTGGTAGGTTATTCTCCATGCCAATCAGATGGCTCCTTCCTGTCTAAAAGGTTTCTTGGCTTCTTGTAAGCAGGAACAGAGGCTGAAGGAGCTCTCCAAGAGGCCTTCATTTGCCACGACCGACACTTCTCCAGTCTCCACCACAGCAGCATGCATCAGCACAGCTCCTGCCATCGACCTGTTCTCCACTCCCAGCTGCTCCAATGGGTTAGCCAATCAAATCACTTCATAGTGTGACATCTCAAGCCATCCTAGGTGTATATGACTTTTTTATTGCAGATGATTACTATAGGAGTTATATTAAAAACGGTCCTGGCTCTTCCAAGCTGTATAAATGGCAGTGAATGCTGGTTGAGATTTTGAAGCCCAAAAAAGTGCATTCATCCATCATAAACAGTGCTCCACATGGCTCCGTGGGGTTAATTAAGGCCTTCTGAAACTAATCAATGCTTTTTTGTAAGCTTTATAAACCGTAATCTCTATCTTCCGCTAACTGTGATATGCACGTTCATGAGAGAGTGGCGTTCCAGCGTTCTAAGCTCCGGTCAGAATATGCTAGTCTTGCGAGTTTTGTTTTGTTTTGTTTTCAGCAAAGGAAAACCTCTTGGCTGTTATTGAAAGCCTTCAACAATATATTTTTTTTTTTTTACAAATTCTCGTTTTGTACTTCTAATTCATGACATGACTGGTTTTGCTCTGTCCTCTGCGCTTTTGCGTTCGTCACTTCTCACCGGAGTTTACGCTACGCCTACGTCCTACATAATCCACTGGAACGCCACTCTCTCGTGAACGTGCGTACGACAGTTAGCGAAAGCTAGAGATTACAGTTTGTAAAGTTTTAAATATGGATATTTTTTACACAAACACATTGCTTCACTTCAGAAGGCCTTTATTAACCCCCCGGAGCTGCGTGGAGCACTTTTTATGATGAATGGATGCACTTTTTTGGGCTTCAAAATCTCAACCACTATTCATTGCCATTATAAAGTTTAGAAGAGCCAGGACATTTTTTTATATAACTCCAAATGTATTTGTCTGAAAGAAGAAAGTCATATACACCTAGGATGGCTTGTGGGTGAGTAAATCATGGGGTCATTTTCATTTTTGGGGGAACTGTCCCTTTAAATCGGTTGGGGATTAAGTCATTTTTGTTTTGTTTTCTGATCCTCAGTGCCCTGAAGATGGAGAGTGACCTCTTCAACTTGCAGACTAACTTTCATTCAAGCATGCAGCCCGGACCCTCTGTGGCCACGGCATGGGGAGGTGAGACCTTTTGCGTGAGACTGTCTCAGAGATTCAGCATGCTGTAGCCTTCTGTGTTAACTTGAGTCTCATTCTAATGTCCTCCTGTTCGACTCTTTCTCTCTCTCCTTTTGCCTGCTCAGATCCTTTCTCTTCTTCTGAAGCTGTAGATGACTCCATTCCAAACCTAAACCCTTTCCTAACCAAACTTGTTGTTGATGGTGCTCATCTACCCGTTATGACATCAGATGGTGTTAGTTTCTCCTCTAGGACATCAGGTCATGAGATTTTTGGTGGTAAACACGCTTTAGTTTCTTTCTTCCAACCCACCCATCCACCCATCCAAAGTGTTTATTTAGTTTGAGTTTTTCTGGTCGCTGAAAGTCCCTCGTTGTTTCGCATGCACAGTATCCCCTTGTGTCAAATCAGGAATCCTCTGATTAAGTTCGGCCACATCGTTCTTACAGTTGAGCTCAGCGTCTGAGTAAGAATGCAGTCTGTAATTGGAGACTAAATGGTGGTTAGGTGGCAGTACTATAGATACCCCTCAAATAATGTTTGTACACATATAGCTTTGTTTTGGCTTTGTTATACTGGGGCTGTTTCATTAATTACAGTTTTTATCTTGATTTAAAGCTAAAATTAAAGCGGTTGTAGGTAGTGTGAGACTAAAACAACTGGAAAAATGCATGTTAACTGGGTGTATAGAAAGTCAAATAAACAAGATGATATAACTACATTCTGAATAGATTACTTTGCCCAACTTTCAGCATATTTATGATAATATCCAAATTTGAAGAACAAAGAATAAGTTAAATACATCACCACTCAAAGGTTTGGGGTCTGTAAGAATATTTTAATGTTTTGAAAGTCTCATGCTCATCAAAGTTGCATTTATTTGATCAAAAATACAGTAATATTGTGAAATATTATTACAATTTAAGATAACCATTTTCTATTTTAATATATTTTAAAATGTAATTTATTCTTGTAATGCAAAGCTGAATTTTCAGCATCATTACTCCAGTCTTCAGTGTCACATGATCCTTCAAAAATCATTCTAATATGCTAATTTGATGCTTAAGAAATATTTCTATTTGAATTATTTTTGATGAATAGGAAGTACAAAAGAACAGCATTTCCTGAAATAGATTTTAAAACATTGTTAATATATTTACTGTCACATTTGGTCAATTTAATATATCCTTGCTGAATAAAAATATTAATTTCATAAAAATAAAGGAACCCAGACTTTTTAAGGGTAATATATAAAAGTAGGGCTATCAAAGATAATACGTTAACACGTGCGATTACTGAAACATTAAAAATTGAAAATATTTAATGCTCTTCTTTAAGACTTTGCAAGATGCAATTTTAATAACTATCAAAGGTCAGCAAGTGAAATATAAACCATGAGTGGAACCCGGCATATAAAACCTGACAAATAAATATTTCAATAATTTGACAGCAACTAATCATAATATATATTATTTATGAAACATTCTGAAGAGTTCTACAACAAAAGTTGGTCAGAAAATCACGCATTTCATTCCAGTTTTCACCTCAGTCTACCTTTGCTTTGTAAAGGTTTAATAGTTAAACTATAAAGCTATAAGTGAATGATTGTTTTTCCTTTTCCACCATAGATCAGTACAATCCCTTTATTGATTCAAGTTCATCTGTATCAACCAGTTACAAACGCACTGTGCGGATAGAGCACTTAATCTCAGGTACCATAATGCAAACCATCCCACCTATGTTTCCCCTCTGTCTGGAAACATAGGAGCACTGAAGCAGTGTACAGGGACTAACCTCTGATGATCCCTGCTGGATGCTGTTTGCCTTCTGCACATGGCTGTCTTAATATTGCTGTTTAAATACGCTCTTTACTAATCCTCTCTGAATCTCAAATGTCTTTATGTCTGTAATGCTTGCCGTGTTGTTTCTCCTTCTCCCTGCCTGCCTGTCAGACTCGTTTGGTCAGCCGTCTATGGTCCAGCATCTCCCAAACGAATTAATAATTAATGTCAGAATTTTCATTTTTGGGTGAACTATCCCCCTATGTTCAATTTAGAACACTATATAGGCAGCAGACACAAAAACGCTCTACAGAGGTGACTCAACTGAACAATCGATTTCAGTAGCATCTGAAATTAGCATGTTGCTAAACTAACAGTTCAGTACTTAAATATATACAGCACACAAACATTGGTTAAGTAATACATTTGCATTACATTAAACTGTTTTAATCAATCCTACTCAGATTATTGGAAAGAAATTTTTAAATAACTGACATTTTTATTGCCTTGTCTGCCTTTTATTAACTGAGCTCACTGAAGTGCATTCTGGGATTTTGCTAAAATAAGGTGTTTTAAGGTTTTTGGAACAGAGCAAATATAATGAAATGAATCACATATGAACTTAGTGTTCTTATTAGTCTTTCTTTGTTTTATAGCCACCATCTATCATGACTTTCCCTGCTACAACACCTACAGGAATGATGGGATATGGCATGGTTAGTATTTCTGTGATTTTTGTATTTTGTATTTTCTCTTTTAGTTATTTTTATTAGGGATGCGCCGATCGGATATTCATATCGGGTATCGGCTCCGATAGTGCCATTTTTCTCTGATCGGGTATCGGTCAGAGAGGGCCGATCCAAATCGAGATTTTTTATTTTATTTTTTTCCAATTGTGCGAATTATTCTGTTACTTCTGAAGCCATATGATAGCTTAATGTGAG